TCTTCTTGATGATAGAGAAGTCCCTATTCAGCCTGAGCTGGGCTCCTTTAAGTCTAGTGAGATGGCAAAAGTGACCAATCCCCTGCAAGAGTTCCATGCCCTTTTTGCATAGTCCCACCCTGCAAGGGTTCCACGCACCTTATTTGCATTAGCAGGCTGTCCAATCCCGTTGGTGGCCACAAGCATCTTATTTGCATAGTTACACCCAAACATTTTGTGGGAGCCACAAGAGCACGACTAGAAGGGCCACGATAATGTTAGAAAATAAATTTATTTAAGGAACTAGCTTGTACAATTGTAGGGGTTGGCAAGCCCAAAATCTATAGGCTAGGAAGGCCAAAAACTCTGGCAGGATATCTATGTTGCAGTCTTCTGTGGGCTTCTTCTCTTGGAAACTTCAGTTTTTGCTCTTTAAGGCCTCCAACGGATTGAACTGATGCCCACCCACTTTATGGAGAGTTATCTCCTTTACTTAGATTGAACTGATTACAAATATTAATCACATCAACAAAATACCTTCAGAGCAACATCTAGTGTTGGACTAAACAACTGAGCACCACAGCCTAAGTTAACACATAAAATTGGTTTAACACAAGCTGTATGCATTAAGATGGGAAGGTGTTCTGGCTATGTTGTACGAAAACAGTAGGTTTCAGAACAAACTATCTTCACAGGAAAAAGTCAGACATACCACATCATTGCAGTGCTTTGGGGAGGAGGATTAAGAAGTGTCAGAAATATTTTCACTGTTTGTTTACTTTGTCATTAAATGTTTTACAATAAGCATACATAAATATATTACAAGTCTAGTAAAAAAAGATATTTGAAAACTTGCTACTGTTACTGCATTGAGATACAAAAAAAAAAAAAGCATGCGGTTCTCAACCCAATCAGTGACCATCATGCAGGAGGCATTATGAACGGGAATGGGATTGGCAGTTATTTACACGGAACGACCTTCCTTCACACAGTCATGACCCTACTTCTACAAGGCCTTGAAGAATTTGGATTTTGCCAAAGTTGAAACTGTCCAGGGTCCTGAGCACACTTTTCTGAAATCAGAGCAGCTGTTGCAGGATCTTCCGGAAACGGAATCTGGAGTCCCGGTCTGCCACCACTGTGTTCTGGATTAGCCAGCACTTTGACTCCCTTCCAAAACGTTCCCTCGCAATCTGGTCTCACTACAAGCCAAGGTATGCACATGCTGGTGTGTGTGTGTGTGTGTGTGTGGAGCTTGCACAACCCAGGAAGTGGACGAAGCCGACCAGGAAAGCAGCAGCATAGCCCCACTTGGGGTGATACAAGAAAGCACATATTGGGAGAGAGAACTTTCAAGATAGAACCAAATTTTTAACAGGTTATCCCTGGAAACACAGAGCTGTGGATAACTGCTATTGTTGTTACGCGCCAATGAGTCAGTTCTGACTCATAGCAACCCCACGTACAACAGAATGAAACACGGCCTGGTCCTGTGCCGTCCTCACAGTCATTGCTGTCCTTGAGCCCATTGGTGTAGCCTCTGTGTCAATCCATCTCATCGAAGGTCTTCCTGTTTTTTGCTGACCTTCAACCTTACCAGGCTTTGTGTTCTTCTCCAGGCACATAAAGACACGTGGGCCCATTGGCAAGGAGGGAGAAGTAAGCCTGCCCCCAATCCCAACCCATCCTCAGTGACATCCAGGTCCCTCCTGATAACATGACCAAAGTATGTGAGATGAAGTCTCACCATCTTTGCTTCTAAGGCGCATTCTGGCTGTACTTCTTTCAACATAGATTTGTTTGTTCTTCTAGCAGTCCATGGTATATTCAACATTCTTTGCCAACACCATAATTTGAATGCATCAATTCTTTCTCAGTCTTCCTTATTCATTGTTCAGCTTTCATGTATGAGGTGAGTGAAAATAGTTAATATCTGTAAAGTGCTTAGGACAGTGCCTAGCTATAAAAATAATTGTTAAAATAAATAAATTTGCCTTCAGATTTTCCTACAGTAAACATATTACTTATATAATGGGTTATAGAAGCAATTTAGAAAAGATTTCTGGCTCCATTAAAGTTAACAGAAAAAGAGAGGTGCTGTTTTTGAGATTCAACAAGATTGATGTCTAATGACCCAGGGAATGGAGTCTAAGGAAGGAGCCAAAAATGACCTCCAAGTTCTAAAGGTACACTTGGCTGACCCTAAGAAAGTAAACCCACAGAATGTTCTCGGAAAGTTCCAGAAGGGCCTTGTCTATGGCAGACACAGAAATATATCCTTCTCAAACAGGGGCTCACATAAATAGGTCATGACCTGATTTTCTGAGTCAAATCTTTATTTGGCAAACCAAGTTCTTTCCTGATAATCCATTCATGTGAGAGTGAAAACTTAGGCCCAGCACCAGCCTCCAAAAGCATCTCTAGCTAGAAAATGAGGAAGCAAGGGCCCACCTCCTTTTCTGCTGTTTCAGTGTGAAGGAGATGGTCTGTGGAAGGCTGACCACAGGACTGCAAAGACCTCTGAGCTGCTCCCTGCTCCCGAGTCCACAGAGAAGCAGCAGGAACCGGACCAAGAGGTTGAGACCTCACACACTGGGCCGCAGAGATCTGCACAGGGAGGGGGGAACTTGGAGACCAGGCCCCACGGGGCTGTGGTGCTAGCTTCATCCCCTCTGAAGCCCAAAGCCGGTGGCCCAGCTAGGAGGGGCGGCTGTGCACAAGGAGACACTGTCACCACCCCTCAAATTGGGCTGTGATTTGTTCCAAAGTCTTCCCTTTGGTTTCAGGGACACAGAACACAGTGAAGAGGACGCTGAGGATGCAAAATGCAGAGGCGAGCCAGAAGGCGCCGTAGGGCCTGAGGACTTCCTGCAGAGAGAGGGAAATGGCCACGTGTGGACGCCCAGTGCCAGGACTTAGCATACCTGGCCCATGGCCTGTGCTTTGTCTGTCTCCACCGAGCCTGGGAGCAGTGGAGGAAGGTCAGGTGGAGCATTGTGGTGGCTTTGGTCAACCATTCACAAGGTGTGGATAATCCCCTCAGGGGAATCTGAGGTTCATGGCAATGAAGTGATTGCTTCCAAGGTCACAGACCCATTAAATGACAGAGCTGGGCTCTAGCATACATCGACTCCAGGGTGCACAGACCCACCCTCTACACCCAACTTTGGTCCCATGCACCCTGTGGGGTCTCTGGTGCTGGCAGGATTGGGTGAGCTATTAGCAGGTTGAGATGGAGCAGAGTTAGTACGGTCCCTGGAGCACAGAGACACTCAGTGCTCACTAAAACGGACCCAGTCCTTAGTGTATCCTCAGTGACATCCCTGGTGCCAGAACCAAAGCTTCTCTTCATCTGGGACTTGGTGACCTCATGAGGCCCTTCTTGGACACAGTATACTTGTTCTTTGCTCTCTCCTCCTTGGCTTCTTTTCTTTCCCTGTTATCATCCTTATCTTCCCAGGCCTTGGCCCTGGTCTTTCTGATGTGCTCTCTTGGGCAACCTTGCCTGGGGGGGTCCTAGGCCCTGTGTCCAGGCCTCTCACCCAGCCTGCCTCCTGGTGCCCCCACCCAGCCCTCCTACAATTCACTCCCTACCACTTGTTTATCACCTTCCTGGCCCTCATCATTAAGGGGACCCTGCCTGTCTTGTTCACTGCTGACTTGGGTGCTTTGAACAGGGGATGGATATGGTATGTGCCAGGAGACCTGTGGGTAATGAATGACTGAACAAATGTCTTCAGTATCTGCTTCAGAACCATGCCCCAATGGCTGGGAAGCTCCAGGGGTGGACCATGTTTGTGCCAGTCTCGTCTGTAGGAGGACAGCAAAATGTTGAACCAAACTGATGCTCCCATCTACTCTAGGAGAGTACTGTTACCTTTCTCCATTTTCAGCCAAGGAAACTGGTTCAGAGAAAGCAAGCAGCATGCCCAAGGTCACACAGTAAGAACGAGACCGAGGTGTGACTGGAGCCCAGGCCTGTTGACTTCAAAGCCCAAGCTCTTCCCCCTATTGCCCTGTGCCCAGCCTGTATGCCCAATCTCCATTAACAGCAGGACAACCAGGCTGTTCTCCACCATGATGGCCTGAAGACTCTACAGAGAGTGGTTTCCACCTCAGCCCTGAACAGGACTGCAGACCTCCCAGGCATGTTCCTGCATGCAAGGCCAATGACCCTGCGTGTTTTACAATGAGAGCCATTTAAAAAAGTGGTTCTTGGATGACTGCAAGTGGGGAAAGGCCATTGGGGACTGGACTTACCATGAGGCTGCTGAACTCTTTTGTCACCAGAAAGGCCATGAGCCAGTTGGTGAGGACGCAGACTCCAGTGGCCACACCCTTAACACGTAGAGGGAAGATCTCTGACATAAGGAGCCAGGGGATGGGTCCCCAACCCAGAGCAAAGCCTGAGGGAGCAAGATAGGCATTAGAACCCACAAGGAGCTGGACTTCTCATGGGCCGCAGAGCCCATGGCCTTGGCCTAAGACCTCTGGCTGAGGCCTCATGGGGCAGCAGTCTGGGTTTCCAAGGGCCCTGGATTCCAGTCTGGTCCAACCAGCTCTGTGCCTTCCTGCTATGAGGGGCTGGACCAGTCACTCTTCTCGTGTCAGACTTTTTATCTGTAAGATGGGATAATGATGGGCCCTCATCACAGGGTTGTTGGGGATAAAATGAATGAACACAGAAGGGCTCAGTTCAGTGTCCAGCACATGGTCAGAGCCATAAACCCTGAGGCTGGTAAGACTGGACTCACAGGAGTTGCACGAACCCAGTGGTGACAGGGTATGGCAGTGGGGGACAGTGGCCATCCTCGAGCCTCCCTTTGGGTCCCCTCTCACCAGCGATGAAAAAGCACATGCTTCCCACAGCCAACCAGGCCAGTCCAGCACTGGCATCGACAGGCTCCATGGAGGTGGGCGAAGAGAGGGCCATGTGAGAGGAGTTGTTGGCGCCACCCTGGGTCAGCTTGAAGTAGGCGCCAAAGGTGCTAATGCTGAACACCATGATCGTACCTGCAGGTGGGAGGGTTGGGGCCAGGCAGGCTGCTGGGAAAGGCTGCTCCCTCTCCCGACTCTCCCCTGCCTGACCCTCGCTGGGGGGAAATGGCCTGCAGGCTGGGTGTGTGGCACTGAGTTCCAGGGCACCTTGTGGCCACAGCAATGTAGCCTGGATGCCTTTGAGAAGGGTATCCCTGGCTCACTGAACAGCAAGGGTGGGAGGATCCTGCAAGCTTGATATTCCAGCCCTTAGGCCTCAAGACCCCTTAGTGGGCAGCACTCCATCCCCACTCTACCAACCCCACTTGAACTTCAAACCTTAGTAAACTCCAAAGAGTTCCAGGATACAGACCCTCCCTGGCTGGGCCAAGGAAGCAGGAGTAATAACAGCAACAGTAGTATTTTAGCCTCCACCCACAATGGTAACCTTCTCAGTGGCCGGCACGTACCAGCACTCCGTGGGCCGAACCACGGATCATTTCCTGACCCTCACAGCTGCACTGAGGGAGGTGCTGCCTAGTGCCCTTTACACCAGGGAGGAAGTTGAGGCTCAGAGAGGTAAAGCTACTTGCCCCAAAAGACCCCAAGCTTCCCTTCACTCCCCGGTCTTCAGTTTCTCCATTGCAAAATGGGGGCTGTGATAGGGCCTGTCTTCTGGGTTCATCACGAAGGTTAAACACATGAATGCAGTAACGGCATCAGCCCAGACTGGTCTGGAAGCCAGTGCTCGGTGAGCAGAGCTTCTGCTAAGATCACAGGCTCGTTAGTCCACGATGCTTGCTCTGCTGGCCATCTGACAGTCCTTCTCCACCCTGTAATGTGACCTTGACAAAGGCCCTCCAGCCCATGGTGGGAGCCTGGCATGGAGGCACCAGTAGGTGCACAGGGCTGGGCCCTCATCCTCAGGCCTCACCTGACAAAGCCAGGAGCAGCCTTCGTCCAGCTCTGTCCATGATGAGTGCTGCCACGGCAGTGAACAACACCTGGATGACGCCCACGATGACTGAGGCCAGGCTGCTGTCCTGGGGAAAGATGGGTGCCGAGGCGGTCAGCTGGGCCAGCCAAAGAGGATCCCTCCTTTTCTAATCCTCTGCTGGGAGGGTGAATTCAAGCGGGAGGGAGCCCCACCCACGTGACATGCTGTCGAGGCAGAGGGTGCTTTACCTTGAACTTGGCCTCCTCAAAGATGGTCTCTGCATAGAACATGACGGCGTTGATTCCTGACAGCTGTTGGAAGGCCATCAGTGAAGTGCCAATGATGAAAGGCTTGTAGATCCCAGGCTGCCTCAGCTGGGCCAGGTGGAAGCCCTGCTTAGACAAATACCAGGTTAGCAGTGGCTCTCCCACAGGTGTTCCCAGGCTTTGAGCCCCTGTCCTTAAGGTCATGGAGGGAAGTGAGCCCCAGTGTGACTTCTCACCCAGGCCCCGGCTGTGGCTGCAGGTCCACAGAAGAGTCCCTGCCTGCATCACTTTAGCCTCTCCAGTTCCTCTCCTTACCTGTCTTACATGTCACTTTAGCCTCACCAATTCCTCTCCAGTTCCAAGGTAAGGAAATCCTTACCTGCCCAAGTCTTTTCCTGAATTGTTGGGGGCAAATAGCAAAGGCCCACACATCTCAACCCCTCTGACCTCTAGGGCATCCAGTCCTTGCCTTAGGCCTAGCCCTGTCCTTGGTGCCTCCCACGGCCCTTCTCAATGAATCCTTACCACCACCACAGCACATGTTATGTTGTTGTTGTTATGCGCCGTCGAGTCAAACCCGACTCATAGCGACCCCTCCTTGGGTTTCCGAGGCAGTATCACTACGGAAGTAGGATTGCCCAACCTTCCTTCCAAGGAGTGGCTGGTGGGTTTGAACTGCCAGCCGTCTGGTTAGCAGAAAAGCGTCTTAGCCACTATGCTACCAGAGCTCCCAGCACATGTTATAGGACTCCCATTTTGCAGATGAAGAAACTAAGGATTAGTGGCAGAGCTAGAGGTTCAAAACCCAGGTGTGACTCTCAAATCCAGACTGTCAACCATCTTGCTGCCCTCCAGTCCCCTGCCCTGCAGTTCCCCAATTAAATTCAGGCCCTCAACTTAGCACCTGTATTTCCTTTTGATCTTTCTCTTCCTGGGAGAGTAAGAATCAAAGCTCAAAGCTTTTCTAGTGGCGCCCAAGGCTAGGCCCAGCTGAGGGGGGCTCCACCGGGCATCTGCCTGCTCGCAGCCAACAGTGGTCCTGTCCCATTCTCACAGAGGGTGGAGGGATGGGTTCTCCTCCCACCAAGTAGGTGAAAGCTTGGAAACAGGCCATGCAGCCTCTCCCAGCTGCAAAAGGGTAATATGTCAGCCTTGCCCCCCAGAGCTCCTGCTCCCAGCCCCTCACCTGGTGCTCATCCCTGATAGGTGGCTCTTCCCAGCCCTGCTCTGAGCCCCACAGGAACCGCAGGGCATCCATGGCTTCCTGGCGCTTGTGCTGAGTCAGCAGGAAGCGTGGGGTCTCGGGCATGCAGCACATGAGCAGCAGCATAAGTAAGGGGGGCACGCAGCCCAGCACCGCCAGCCAGCGCCACTCCAAGATCCAGCCTGGTGGGGGCGCAGGGCATCAGAACCAATCCAGCCCACCCTCTGGGAATGCCTGCCCCTCCCAACCATAGGGACTCCGTTCAAATGGGGAGCCCAGTACCTCTGCATGGCTGCCTTCATTTTTGTTACTGAGAATGTTGTTACTGTTAATAACGATATTACTATTGTTGATAAACATGGACATTGTGGGCCAACTCTATCAGTTGTTGGAGAGATGATGATTGGTACATAAATTATGCCGTATCTGTTCAGTGAAATATTTACGTAGCCATCATACAAAAAATGAGCACTCCAGATGGGGTTGCTGTGAGTCAGAATTGACTCAATGGCAATGGGTATCCTATATATTGACATGTCATTGATACGGACCACGTGTATAAAGGTAGGGAATGGGAGAATTAATATGTGTACTCCTTACGTGGGCACAGACTCTCCCTGGAATGTTACCGAGCAACTCTGGCTTCTCTAGAGAGAAGGACAGGGGTAGGGGGAGACTTTTCACTGAACACTCTCCCCACTTGTGCTTCTTGGGAGTCCCTGTGTGGTGCAAATGAAAACGTGCTCAGTTGTTAACCAAAAGGTTGTTGGTTAGTCCACCCAGAGATCCCTCAAAAGAACATCCTGCCAATCTATTTCCAAAAAATCAGCCACTGAAAACCCTACGGAGCACAGTTCTACTATGACCCACGTGGGGTCACCGTGAGTCGAAATCGACTTGATGGCAACTGGACTTTGGATTCAGTACTTCTTGAGTGTTGAATCATTGGAATGTATTTCTACTCAAAGAATAAATAAAATTTAAAAAAAAATGGTGCCAGAATTTTGTTATTATGAAGATGTATGAAGAACAGTACAAATCCAGACTTAAAGAGAATCACATAAAGCCAAAGGATATCTGACAAAGGGACCAGCAATAAATGAGTTCAGCGCAATGCCTGTCTAAGTTTTAATTTTTCTGAAGCCCAAAAGGCTCATTTATAACCCAGATCCCAGTGGAAAAAATAACTTTGGGATAGCTACGGACTGCCTCTTTGGGGCTAGGGGTGGGAAGGTAAGGGAATGTACAGACATTTGCTATAGCAAGAAGGTATAGGTAACTTTTTTTTTTTTTTTTTTTAGGGTTTGGGTGAAGATTTACGGTATAGGTAACTCTTAGTTGTTCCACAAAGTCTTGTTATTGGCGTATTACTGTCCCTAATGTGCTCAAGCACATTTGTATCACTACCATGTCACTTTGTGGGGTTAACAGTTAACCTACCAGTAGATCAAAACTCATAGAAATTGGTCAGTGAAAGGCAGGTGAAGCAGCAAGTGCAATTGAGATCAATGAGAGGGTTGGCTATGATACATTGACTTCCCATGTCTGTCCCCAAACATGGAAGGTCACACAGGAGGGCAGCTTTGGCACCCTGCTGGGCCTCCCAAGAGAGCCTGACTGCTGGTAGGATGGTGAATGAGAGTCATGTGGTAAGTGGGTAGAATGACAGCATAGCCCCGCCTATCACTCACACTGACGTGCACCTGGGTCAGCCACACCCGTCAGCCCCTAAGCCCCCATGGCATTAAGGCCATTCCTTGGCAGTTCTCATTTAGGACCTGCCACCTGGCACTTTCTGTGTCATTTAACCTCATCCTCCAATAGCTATGTGGGATTATGTCCACTCAAAGACAGGGAAAGAGACTCCCAGAGGCAGTGTGATGTGAGTAAGTAGCAAAGGCTGTCTCCAAATCTGGAACTGCACTTGAAGCCACCCTGTGCTGGCTCCAGTTCTGTCCCTTGGGGTCAACAGGAACCTGTCTTCACACCCACTCACCTGGCACTGTAGCCAGCACTGACATTTCTAAGGGAGATCTGCTTGGGCCTTTCACACTCTGAGCTGAAGGTTTCTGCAGTGCCCCAGCCACACCTGGAATCCCCTGGTTGGTCCATGCCCAGTAAGGTACTGACCTAACCAGTCAGCCCTTGCCACACCCTCCCAAGTGGGCTGCCTTTGGAAGACCTCATGTACCCCAAGGTCCCAGGGAGGCAGCATACCTTGGGCAAGTCCCTTGGCCTCTCTGAACCTTAGTTCCCCTATCTGTAAAATGACCACTTGGCTGTTTACGGGGCTTAAAAGAGAGATGTGCAAACTATACCTGCCAGGTAGGCTAGGAGGATGCCTGTGACGACCATCAGCTGCACACAGGAGCCGAGCAGCCCCCGGATTGCTGGGTAGGCAATTTCGGAGATATACACCTGCAGGTAATTAAGATGAGGGTTTATCTGGTGTCTAAGTTCTTCAAGTGGAAAAGCCTCAGCTTTTCAGAGCTGAGAGCCTTATTTGGGGCTGCTACAAGCCCTGTAAGCCCCTAGTCATGTTATCCCCCTAGTCATCAGTCTTCTTCCCGTGTCTCCTCCCACCCCATTCCCAATCAACAGTGATCTGTACCTTGTGTTTAAAGATCAAGATTATGTATTTGGCCACTGAGCATGCAAGAGGAAAGGAGAGGGCACAGTGCTTCTCAAACTTTAACGTGTGAATCGCCTTGACAAAATGTCATTTCTGATTCAGGAGGACTCGGGTGGGGCCTGAGAGTCTGCATTTATAACTATCCCAGCTGCTGGCCCATGAGCCACACTTTTGAGTGATGCCTTTGGAGTAAAAAGTCAGGAACTCCCAGTCTCATCTTTACCAGTGGCTGTCAGCTCTCCCTCTGGTTTCAGTAGCCACCAGGCCCTTCCCCACACGTTTGGCCCATGAGGAGCTCTGCTGGTGCAGTGGTTAAAGCACCCAGCTGCTAATCGAAAGGTTAGCAGCTCAAACCTTTTTGCTTCTGTAAAATTTACAGCCTTGAAAACCCTGTGTGGCAGTTATATTTTGTCCTACAGGGTTGCGGTAAGTTGCAATTGACTCAAAGGCAGTGGGTTTAGTTTTTTCGTGTTAGACCTATGACTAAGACAGCTGTTTTTTTTACCTAGCAGGAATCTTCTCAAACCTTCACAAGGTAATTATTCCATTATCTCCATTTTACAAAGGAGGAAACAGGCTTAGAGAGGTGCCCTGCCCAGGGAGGTGGCAGAGCTAGGATTTAAACTGAGGTGTGTGTGTGGCTTCAAAGTCTGCCTTTGTAGCTCTGGGTGGAGAGAAGCAGAGAGGGAAGTGGAGGGACTAGTGTGAGCAGGGAAGGAGTAGTAGATCCTAGTCCCCCATACTCTCCCCTAACTCACTGCCATCGAATCGTTTCTGACTCATAGTGATGCCCATTGGGTTTCCCAGGTAGTAAAACTTTACGGAAGTAGATTGTCCCATCTTCCTTCCTAAGAGCAGCTGGTGGGTTTGAACTGCCAACCTTCTGGTTAGCAGTCAAATGCCTTAGGCACTATGCCACCAGAGCTCCTTATTTTTGTTGTTGTTGTTATGTGCCATCAAGTCAAACCCGACTCATAGCGACCCCTCCTTGGGTTTCCGAGGCAGTATCACTACGGAAGTAGGATTGCCCATCCTTCCTTCCGGGGAATGGCTGGTGAGTTTGAACCGCCAGCCGTCTGGTTAGCTCCTTATAGAGAGACCCAAATCCATGTTTTTAATAGTCCAGATGTTAGGACGGGATTTTTCTGCTGTCTGTCGTCTGAAAGACAGGGAGGGTTATTATGTGTGTAAAGCAAAAGAGGCACTGTTAAGGTGGACGATCCTAGATTCAAGTATTAGCTTCACCACTGTTGGCTGTAGACGCCGCCTGGGGAAAGGATTTCACGTTTCCGAGGCTGTTTCACCTGTCAAAGGGGGCTGACAACAGCTGGCTCCTTCCATGGGCTGTGGTGAGTAAGGTGCATGATGTCTGGCACCCAGGAAGCTTTATATAACCTGTGTGGGCCACAGCTAGGGTGAGCTATGCCACAGGTCTGGGGCAGGTGGACACTCACCGGGGCCACTAGCGAGGCAATGCCGCAGGCCAAGCCGGTGAGGAGGCGGCCCACAAGCAGCATCCACACGTCCTGAGCCGCGGTGATGATGGCAAAGCCAGCCACGAAGGGCACGGTGCAGAGTAAGAGGCTCAGCTTGCGCCCGGCGCAGTCTACCAGCCAGCCGCCCAGCAAGCCCCCCGCCGCGGCGCCCAGGGTCACGATGGCCTGGGAGGTGGGCGGACGGCGGGCTGAGGAGGGAGGGCCAGGGGCTGCGACCCAACCTCACCCTTTACACCCCCACCCCTGGCGTCCTCAAAGGGAAGGAGCTGAGAGTGTGTCCGGGGCTGGAGGTCGGAGATGGGACGACCCTGGGCAGAAAAGCCAGGGCAGACAGGGCGGAGGATCCCAGCGCCCGCCCGAGGGAGTAGGAGAGGGAAGGTCCCAGAGCCGAGTCTCACCCCGAACCAGGAGGCGGCGTCATCGTCGAGGCGCGGGGCTGGGGACGTTTCGCGCCGTAGGCTTGGGATGGCCGGGGAGCTGTAGCCGAGCGCGAAGCCGAAGCTGAGCGGGCCCAGGGCAGCTGCAAAGGCGGCGAGGAAGACCCGGCGACTGCGGGGGACGCTGCGGGGACAGAGCCATGAGCGGTGCGGGGCGGAGGCAGGCGTGGAACGAGGCCGTGCCCTTGGCCCCAGGCCCCGCTGCCCGCTCACCTGCCGCTGGGCAGCCCCAGGAGCGGCTGCCTCTCCCCCTGATCCTCAGGGGTCATGTCTGCGGCCAACGCTTGCTCGGTCCGCTCTGATGCCTGAACTGCCACAGGTCCCGCGAGTGCGACCCGCACCCGCCTCTCTCAACAGAGCCGACCAATGGACAGTGAGGGGCGGCTCTGGGCCAGGGTCGGAAACTTCCGTGGATGGCAAAGTGGCCAATTGGAATGCAAGGCGACGTCAGCATCTACGCTAGGGACCGCCCCTCAAATCAAAGTGGACCAATGGACGCACAAAATAGGTTGGCGTTGCAAACTAAAATCGCCCCTAGAACAGAGCTACCTAGGTACAGACGGGGCGGAGTTTGCACTACCATCCAATAGGGTTGTGGTGCGAGTCGGCAGTCGGGGGTCACAAATTTGCCTCAGAGCTGAGCCGGCCAATGAGGGTGGGGGACGGGGATTTCATTTGGCTTGGAACTGCCTCTCCAGCTTCAATGAATGGGGCTAGGGGCTGGGTAAAGGTGGAGCACGTGGGCCCCGGTCCCAGGACATCTCCACCCGGATTCCGGAGACTGCTACTGTCTTTGGTTGGGTCTGCAGTTCCTACCCAGTGTTAAGCCCCTGTCCCAGTCCTGTCTTGCTGAGAGCCGCAGGGCAGGACGGGAGGTCTCGGAACACTGTCCAGGGCCGCCTACTTCCCCCTAGGATGCCGAGACTGACCCTGCATTCCTGCCGGTTTGCTCCGGACCGGACGAAGTCCTGACCCTTCAAACCACAGCCCAGCCCCGGAGTCTCCCCGATTGCTGATGGCTACTGAGCCGACGACGAAGGCTTCCTGGTGTTGGGACCCGAGTTAGGCGAGAGCCTTGTGCCATATTAGTGTGAAAGGTGCTTAAATGGTGAGCTGCACGCTCCCTGTTCCACTCCTTTAACAGAGGAGACGTGATTTGAAGTTTCTTATGGGTGATATAGGCGAGAAGAGAGAATAAAGTGGCACTAAAGCCAAAAGAAAATTGCCAATTCAGTAATTTTTTGCAAACAAGGTAGGTGAAGCTCGGTTTTCACTTTTAAGTTTCACTCACTTCAAGGTAATCTTGATTCTTGTATCTCCATCTTACTATTTCTCAACTATGAGCAGCCAGCACACTTTAATAGCCAACCTGTATGTTTGACTGCTAACCAGAAGGTTGGTAGTTCAAACCCACCAGCCACTCTACGGAAGGAAGACTGGGCAATCTACTTTCATAAAGATTTACCACCTTGGAAACCCAAAGGGAGTCGCTGTGAGTCGGAATCCACTCGATGGCAGTGAATTTGGTGGGTTTTTTTTTTGGTCCATGTTTGCATCCAAGTCACTGCTGGAGGTGAATATGATCAGATCAGGGCTCTGTAGGATCTTGCCAACTGTACCAGCATCAATCCCTACCCAACACTCTGGGTGCAGGCAGTTGCTGTGGAACCCTGGTATAACACTGCAAGGAACCAGGGTTGTGGGAGTACCAGGTGTGGCTTTTAATCCCTTCTGGTCTCCCTTTCCTCATCTGCAAGTGGGAATGATGGATATTCTCCAGGAGAGTGGAGAGTAGGGATAATGGACATGAAAAAACAAGCACTTGAGAAGCACTCAAGTGCTGGCTCCTACAATTACAGTAGTGGTTTGGTTGATTGTAGTCACCTGATAGTACTGTCATCCAACCAGCGTTCTGCCTTGACCACAAGACTGTTTTGAAGACTCAGGCAACCACCCTCTGTGCTTCCACAAGCTCTGTGCTTGAGCTAGCGTTCTTATCACAGCCCTTACCACCATTTGGTAATTCCTGTTCGCTGCTCTCCCTCCTCCACTGGATAGGATTTCACAGTAGACACTTGATATTTGCAGAGTAGATGAATGCCTCAAACTCATGGACAAACAGCTGCTGTTAGACACGGTTTACTTTAACTCAGCCAGTATGGTATGTGGACATGCTTATGTAGACAGGATGCTCCAGGGAGCCCAGCTAGCACCAGCCAGTCCTCCGAGCCATGGACCCCTACAAACCTGCTCCTAGTCTCTGGCTGGTGGTCGTCTTCCCCTTGAGTGTGCAATGTTCACTTCTTGGATTTTATGAGCAGCCATTGTTCCCAAAACAGCCTCCCACCCCCTTTTTATAAGCAAAGCATCACCATTCTGAGTAGTAGAGCCTGCCTTCCGCCCTTTCCACATTCACTCCTCAGATCTGTGACTCTTGTCAAATTGTGGGGTGGCACTAATGCTTGTGATCCCCTTGGAAGAATGCTCTAAAGAACCTTTGGTTTTTCTATTCCAGGCTGAGAAGCAAGACACTTCGGGGGAAAAAAAATGACAGGAAAAACACAGATACAAGCTCATAAAGCTTACAAACTAGTTTAGCATGAAAGATACCAGCCAGATCCAACAGTCAGAAGGCACTTGGCCTGGCTCTGTGGGTGGTGGACAAGGGAGAGGTCTGAGGTCAGAGAATTCGCAGGTTCAAACTATTGGCCATTTCTGAGAGTCAGTTTCCTCATCTGAAAAACAGTAATAATAATACCTAATTTATGAAACTGTTGGTGGTGCTGAAAACTGTATGTAGTTGGTTTTGTGTGTTTACTTGTGTATGAAAGGGCATAATAAAACACAAAGGAAAAATGGGAGGGTGGAATGCTAAAAAGATGTGTGAAAAAACACATCTGGTTACAGACAGCCCCTCCTGGGTATACCTAGAAAGCATTGTCTTTACTTTTCTTGCTGCTTTCTTTCTGCCAAAAACAGGAACTAAGAACCTTCCCCACAGTGTGCAAGACCCACAAGTGAGTGAGATGTAAACTTCTGCAAAAATCTATTAATTAGATCAAGGTCCTGTCAAATACAGTTCTCCACTCTTACACGAAGGCCTGTAGAACTCTTCAGAGCTCCATTAACAGAGGAGACATGATTTAAAGTTTCTTAAGGGTAATGTAAGTGAGAAGAGACAATAAAATGGGATCAGATAGACTAAAGCCAAAAGAAAGTTGCTAAATCTTACAAGTTAAAATTTTTGCAAACAAGGTCAGTGAACTACATTTTTTCTCCCTTAGATCTCCCTGGTTAGAGGCTGACATTTTATTTTACTATTTCCATTAGCACTTGCCCCAATCCACATTTTCTTTTCACTTTGACAAAGGAGCAGACAAAATGGTAAGAGGAAGGGAAGTCATATGGTTCACGTGAAAGAGTGAGGTCGACCAACAAGAGGAGGGCATTTGGAAAGAAGAATTTGGATCACGAGGAGTAACTTCCCCGGTTGATTTCAGAGCAACAATAAAATCAAACCAGACAATCTCAAGACTCTTGAAAACCTCCTGGTCTCATTTTCTTTGTGAGGCACAGGTGGGAGAATGGAGGATTTCTGAGATCTGACCAATGGTCAGCTTTTCTCAAGAGCCGACAGACAGCAGCATAGCTGGTTCCAATCAGTGAACTGAGATAGCAACAGGGGCCAAAGGTGCAGAAAGAAAACTGTTATTATAAATTTAAAAGGCAATGACTTTTTTCTTAGAAACAGTTTATGTGACACAAATCAAAACTGTAAGGAAAAATAAATTTTCCATCTAAATATATAAAATATGAGAAGGTTGCAGTAAATAAGAATGAACTTTTTGATTTATTCAAAGTTTCAATCTAAAACCTCAATGAAATCTACCACCTTTAGTACAAGGGGACTGATGGTGCCTGAACTGAAAGGAACAAAGGTCAAGAAAGATGGCACCAGACATTGGAGAGTGACCCAAACTGGCCGAGTGTGCAGATTTGGTCCAATAGATCACCGACAGGCTCAAAGCCACATTTAGTTGAGAAATGATTTCAGAACTGTTGAAAGACTATAAACCTCCATCAGAAAACTAAAGATGGCAAATAAGATTTGGACTCTCTTTACTTCAAGTCAATAATGTCTTCATCCGAGGAAGCTGTGAGCTGGAAGGGGCTGCTGGAAATGGGGCTGCCCTCTCTGTCTCCCATGGGGTCTGGGTCGGAGCTTGTGGAGTGGTAACGCCCCTCAGGATTGGCTTCAGAAGTAGAAGGACTTTCCAAGGAGCCTGATGTGATCCTGAAAGAGAGAAGTCACTGTAAAAAGGACCCATTGGGTGCAGCACTGAACTAACTGGCCTATTCTACCTGGCATTTTCTGCTTGTCTGAGCTCATAAACTGCCCCTTTGCCCTGAGTTATGATGGAAGTGTGGAGGCGCAGTTCAGTTCAGGTTCTGCAGTCAGATACCCTAGCTCATGGGGTGGTTCTGAGGTCTAAAGGCCTCTGTGGGACACACCGAAGGTAACTGTGAGGTGTTACTTACCTTTCTGGTGGTGCAATGGTTAAGTGCTTGGCTGCTAACCAAAAGGTCAGCAGTTTGAACCCACCAGTGACTGCAGAAGAAAAGATTGGTGATTTGCTCTCGCAAAGATTACGACTGAAGAAATTCTATGCGGCAGTTCTACTCTGTCACATGGGGTTGCTAAGAGTTGAAAGCAACTTGATGATACACGATATTTACCTTTCTAAGGTATGACTCTAGATTATGCCACCCTCTGTCTAAAACCCTCTATGGCTCCCTTAATTTCCTACCTGCAGCCAAGGTTCTGAGACTTGGCCCCCCTGACTTATCCCTCGCTCCTTATATTCTCCAGCTCCTCAGGACTCTCTTGATAGGTGCATGATCAGTTTAACCAAAACTGGTGTCCACTTTTCAGGGAGTTAATTTATTCAACACATGCTCATTGTCCTGCAAAAGCCCACTGGATTCAGGTTCTGTCCATGTCTGGACCTCACCTCAGTCCTCACTCCTGTCTCGATGCTCAGGTTGGTCCAGTCATCTTCCTGTCTCTTAACAGATCAGTCTTTGCACTGCTGTGCCCTCTGTCAGGGGCTTTCCCCCAGCTCCTTATCATTCATTCAAAGCTCACCTCAATGTCAAACTTCTTCAAAGAATCTACCTTGACCGCTCTCTCTCAAAGTAGACCTTATATACACGCTTCCCCCTACCTGGGCCATTTAACTTCCTTTCATCTTTATGGTACTTATTATTT